TTAAATTAAAAAAAAAAAAAAAAAAAATGCGAAAAATGAAAATAAATAGGCTTAAAAAAGAAAATAAATAGTATGAAAAATAAATATAAAAAATTGTTATTTTTAAATGAAGTGGATAAAAATATATAAAAATTGTCCATTTTCATTAAATTATTTAGAATACTAAAAAAAAAAAAAAAAAGGAAAAAAAATATGGAAAATGAATTTCTTAAAGATAATAATACTTTGGAGGATTTTTCTAAAAATGAAAATAATATTTATATAAATAAGGATGAAAAAAGTAAAAAGTATACTTTAAATTTTGATAAATTGGATAAAAATCGTTTTAGCAATAGTTCTAATTTGGATTCAGATAATTGCAAATATAAAATAACGGAATATTTAAATGATACAACTGATAGAAAAAATGAAAATGCTTTTAAAATAACATTGAAAAGCTTAAGAAATTGTGAAAAACTTGATTCATACAAAAAAAATTTTAATTATGTAAAAAATAATGAAATAAAAACCTATGAATTGGATAATAATCATTATTTAAAAAACAATATAAAAAATAATGATAATTATAATAGTGATAAAAATGCTGATGGAAATAATATTGATAAAAGTAATAATGATAATATCACTGAAGAAATTTATGATAGTCTTACATTTCTGAGAAAAGATTCCGAGAATTACAAAAATAATATACTTTTTTTAAATAATAGAAAATATTATTTAAAAAGTATTAAAGATTTAAATAATAATGATACATTAGAATTACATAAGGATATAAGAAAAAAAAAAAAAAAAAAAAAAAGTGCTATTAACTTTGATAGTAAAAGCAAAAAGAGTAATGTAAATGCATACGAAGATATTAAAAATTTAAAAATAAATGCAGATGATGAAAATATAAACTCATATAATTCAAATAATAAAGAGAAAAAAAAAAATTCAACAAGTGATTTAAACTATGAAGAAAGAAAAAAAGAGGATATAGAAGATTACAACAAAAAAATCATCAATAATAATATAAATGTACATTCTGTTTCTACAAGTAATTTTAATAATAAATGCTTAAATAAAATAAATATAATTAATTTAAATATGACTAATAATGAAAACAATTCAAGCAAGAGTGATAAATCTAGTTTTAATGATCATTTTAAAAAAAGAAAATTATATGTAGATCAAAAAGAGATAACAAATGAGAATTCTTTTGAAAACGTAAATAATAACAATGATGTAATGAAATCACCAGAAATATATAATCAATGCCCTTCTACTACTTTTCCAACTGCTTTTTCTACTTTTTCTCGTTTTCCATCAAATTACTTAAATAATTACAAAAGAAGAAAAAAAGAAAATAAATATTCAGTAGATACAATAGAAAGTAAAAATTTAAGTAAGTATGAAAATTTCGAAAATTTTTTTAATTCAAGAAAAATTAATGTGTGTGAAAAAAAATTTAAAAATATGATTAAAGATAATAAATGCAATTCCAGTGATAGGAATACTATCATCAATTACACTAATAATAATAATAATAAAGAGGATGTTAGTTACACATATAAAAATAATTGTAAAAGTATAAAAAATAATAATATCTGTAATTTATTTTCAAGTAGCCCCAATAATAATAGTACAGGAAAATTGATTGACAAGAATAATAGGAAAAATGTTTTTGTAAATTCATTTAATGAAAATTATTATTATGAAACCATAAACTTAAAAGATAGTAATTTATTAAAAAAGGATAAAATATACAACAACTTAAGATATTTTGAAAGGTATTATGAAAACTACATACTTTTTAAGAGTTTTATTTTTTCACTCAATAGCCCATATACCATTTCTTCTTTATCAAAGGAACATGATATTAATGAAATGAATTCACTAAAATATAAAATTTTAAAAAGTGAAAAATACTCATTATTAAATAATGTGTCTACTTTTAAAAAATTTGATGAAAAATATTTTTTAGAAGATTTTATTACAAATGATTTTCAATGGGTTGAATTGGATGGTGTTAATTGTTCATACGCATATGACTTTGCATTTTTTGATAAAACAGATAAATATATGATATCAATTGATGCACTTGATGAAAATGATAAAAATCTGAATGAAAAATGCAATGATAATTCGAATGAACATTGGAATGAAAATTCGAATATTTTAGGAAATACAAAAAAAAGAAAAAAAAAAAAATATATGAAAGATAATGTATTTTTTCATAACCATTGTAAAAAAACAAATGGTGACAATGAAAATTCTATTTTTAATAATGAAACAAACAAAATTTTACAGAATCTAAGTTCAAAAAAAAATTCAAATGAAAGGGTAAAATTAAATAAAAATTATGGTAATTTAGAAAGAATGGTTGAAGATGACATAAGCAATATAAAATGTGATTTACGTGAAAATCAAAAAAATTTTATAATTTTATATGCAAAAATTTTAAACATAAGCTTTATTCATTCAGCAAATATCCTAAAGCAATTTAATCATCCATCAATCAATTTATTTAATACAAACAAAACACATAGTATCAAAAAAAAAGATATAGATAATAGTTATATTGAAAACAAATGTAATTATCAAAATGATTATTATAATAAAGAAATCAGCGATGAATATACTAAAGAAAGTAAGATTTCCTTAATACATAGTAAAAAAAAAAATTTTGAAGAATTAAATAAATTAGATAAAAAAAATAAATATAAATCCGAAAAAGTACGTAAAACAAAATATACAATTAATGATATAAACACTCAAAAAAATAAAAATAAATTTATAAGTAATAAAATAAAAAGACATTTAAATTCTATAAATGTTAGAATAATAATAAAAGAATGGTATATTGATTATGGAATTTATCCTAATTGTATACCATACATTTATGTTGTTTCTCAGAATAACAATAGATATAGATTAGATAAGCCGTTGGATAAGTATTATGATATTTTTACAAATGTTAGACTAAAATTTGAAATAACTACAAGAATTCTTAAAACGTTGCAAGTATATCCTCATATTTCTTATGATAAATTGATTGGGTATTTAACTTTATATGAATCAATTAAAAATAAAATTAAAATAAATGAAAATAAACAAAAAATCAAAAATCATGATATAAAGAATTTAGAAAATTCAAATCAAAATATAATTCATAATGAAGATTCAACATACTTTTTAAAAATAAGAAATATATCAAGTGATGAGGAAAGTAGTAAAAAATACAAAGATGATACTAATAGAATAAAAAAAAAAAGAAATGAAGATATACTGAAAAATTTTAATTTATCTGAAAAAAATGGGACAGGTATATATATAATGCCAGATGGAACAAAAAGCAAAAAATGCATATGGGGAGCAGCATATTCTGTTTATAAATGCGATGAAAACGTTATTATTAATTTATATAATTTTTTAAAAAAAGAAATTAAATTATTAGAAGAATGTTTCAATATCAATTATCTATTAAATACTTCTTTTATGAAAACCCTAAAAGAAAAATTTTATTCAAAACATAAAAGTAACAAGGAAAAAACAATAGATAATATATGCAATAATAATAGTGAATATTTTAAAATTTCGAAAAATATACAAACTGATGAAGATGAAGAAAATACTCAAAATAATGAATATCCTCATATTAATCTCGTGAAAAAAAACAAAAAAAAGATAATAAATGAAATTAACTCAAGAGACAATGAGGATACTTTATATAAAGAATTAAATATAAACGATGTAGTTACAAAGAAAAGAAAGAATAATGATACTGAAAATGTTGAATATAACAATAATGAATTAATAGTAAAAGATAAAAATGAAATTATGAATAGCTTATTTAAAGAAAATGAAGTAAATATAAAAGAAGAAAACAAACCTTATAAAGAAAAATGCACTCAAGATATAAAAGAAAATCTTAAAAATTATAACATAGAATATAATGACAATTTAAATTTAATGGAAAGTATAAAAAAGAAAAATAAAATAAAAAGTAATATAAAAATACAAGATGAATTATATACTAATATTAATGATAGAAATGTGTATCCTTTTCCTTTGCCTTTACATGTAATTATTCCTTTAAAACACGAAATGTTGTTAAACATTTGGACATTTTTTTATACTTTTAAAGAAATTTTAGACATAAATATTACAATGAATAACTTAGAAAAAATATTTTTATTTAAAAGAAACATATTTGATAAAAAAATCATCTATCAATCAATTAATAAAAGTTGTTTGCTGAAGGAATATATAAAAAAAAATAAAATACCGATCCCTCTAGATGAGATGATTTTTTTTGAAAAAAAGACAAACGATTGTATTTGTGATATAAAATACAAAGATAATATACTAAAAAGTTTATTAATGTTATTGCATTATTCATTATTAATAGATAACATTATAAAAAATAATTTTAGAAGAAAGAAAAAAAAACAAAAATATTTAATAAAAAAAAAAAACTTTTATGTTTATCAAATATTTGACGAATTTGAAAATCCTTTAATAAATAATTTTTTCAACTTTTCTATTAAAAATTATTATAAATTTAATAAGAAAAATACGAATATGATAACAAAAAACATGGGGAATCAGGAAAGTAAAATGAATGATGATATAACTTATTCTGTAAAAAATTCGCAAAAAAATATTTACTTAAAGAATTTAAAAGAAATAAGTGTACAATATTGTACTAAAAATTTAAAAGAAAATAAAAACGAAGAATTAAATTTAAAACAAGAAAAATGTAAAAATGATACAAACGAATGGAGTGTAAAAGACGAAAAAGACTTAGGTAATCAGGAAAAAAAAAAGAAATATGGTGAAACAAATAAACAGAAAATTTCTTTTAATTATTCTTATTCAGATAACATACTGAATTGTTCTGATGCTTTATCATATTATTCATCTTTGGAATCATTCTCGGATGATATTAAAAAAAATGAATCTCTTAAAATAAATAATGAAGTGAGAGAAGAGAAAGAAACAAATAATTATGATAATAAGGGTGACATTAGCATTTGTGATACATATAAAGATTCTTTTTATATAAATAATTTCTCTAAAGAAAAATGCCAAAATGATTGCAAAAAAATTAATTATGATTCTATATATAATACATGTAATATAACGTTAAAATGTGATGATTTAAAAAATAATATAATAACAAGAGAGAATAATAAAATATCTTCAAATATAGAAAAAACAAAAGATAATGAAAATTACAAGGGTGATATAAATAAAGAAATAAAATCAAGCATAACTTGCGACAATGAAAAATTAATATCAACAAATGAAAGTGTGATAAATAAAATTGAAAAAGAGAAATATGAAATAAACGAATTAAAGCATAATGAAATAAATGAACCTAAAAGAAAGGATGAAAAAGGAAAAAAAGAAATAGATGAGAATGATCTTGAAAATATGTTAGATCAAGTAAATTTCTATGATTTAACAGAATATGAACAAACCATTGATAATAATTCTTATATTAACGTTCTGTCAGACATTTTTTTACAAAGGAAAAAAAAAAAAATGATTTTCGAAGAGTATCATGATATAAGAATTCTTGATAATATTACGTGGACAATATTATTAAAAAAGTATATTTTCATTATTTTGTATACAATGAAACATTCTTTTTATTTTAATAAAAAAAATGAAAGAAATATCAATGAAAAGAGTAGCGATATAATTAATAATAACTATAGTTATGTTGTATCTTCAAATAATAAAAACTTAGATAGTTTAAACACAAATTTGTCAATCTCTAAAAATGACATGATTCATAAAAATATAAAAAAGGATAATATTAACAAATCTAAAAGTTTTGATAAAAGTATTAATAATAAAAAAAACAGCCAAAATGAATTAATTTCGAATGATGGAAAAAATTTAGAAAATATAAATTTAAAAAAATATAAGTTAAGTTGGTTTCTTAATTTTAATAAATTTCATTTTTCTAAAAGTGAAATCATGGAAATGATTAATATATTTAAATTTTTATGTAAAGAAAATAATACTTATGAAATGTTAAAAGAAACTGAAAAAATGAAAATTATTATGTTTTTCATAAATATAATAACTAGTAGTAATATTTCAAAAGAATTTATAAATGAAAAAATTGAATATTTGAATAATATTAAAAGTTACATTGTCAGTAAGCAAAATATAGAGGATGATAATCAAAAAAATATGAAGAAAAATTCAAATGGCACCAATACTGATTGCCTATTAATGAAGACTCTACCTAATAAAGAAAATTATATGAAATGTACTGATATGCATTGGGGGGAAAAAGAAAAAAGAGATAGCTACGAAAAGGGAAATATAAATGGAAAAGATGAAAATACAAAAAGTAATCAAGACAGAAATACAGAAAAAGAAACAATCATAAAGAAAAAAAGTTATTTTAACAGAATTAAAGAAAATTTTAACGTAAGAATAGATCTACTAGGTGAAGATAGATATTTCAATAAATACTACTATTTTGGTAGTAGTTTTGGTTACATAAATAGAATATATGTACAATATATGAATCACATTAAAGAAAATGATAGAGAATGTTTTGAAGAAAGAGTTGGACACAATTTAGAACATAGTGATAATAAGAATTGCAAACAAATAAAAACAATTTTTAACTCAATTGAAGAATATATCAATTTCATAAATGAATCAAAATATAATTTAAAAATGGGTTACATAGAAGGTATAGATAACATAAATTTGTTTATTGAAAGCTTCTCACCACATCTAATTAGAGAAATAGAATTAAAGAAGAAATTTGTTGAAATAAAAGAAATAATTGAAAGTAGTCAATTAAAAAATGAAGAAAATTATATTAAAAAATGCGTAGAATATAAAGATAATAATATAATACTAATAGAAGAAGAAAATAAAGAAAGAAAGGAAAAACAATTAAGTGATGTAATTATTAATGAAAGAAAAGAAAATTTAAATAATGAAAATATAATTATACATAGAAAAATAGAAGATATGGAACAATATAAATCTAATGAATATAATAATAATATCTTGATAAAAAATAAAATTTGTACTAATTTAAGTAAAAATATTCATGAACATATAAGTGACAATAAAAAATATAATGATGTTACTTTAATAAATAACATGAATAAAGAATTAACACATGAAAACAAAAGTAATAATTTAATAGTGGATAAAAAAACTGATGAAAATCATAACAAAATAATGTATTTTACAGAAGCAGAAAAATTATTTGAGCAATTTTTTTTTATTAGTGAGAAGTTACTTAATTTTAAGGAAGAAATAAAAAATATTTTAAGTGAATGTTTTGAATTAGAAATTGATAAAAAAATATTTGATTTTATTTTTTTTTGTATTGACAATTTTATAAATAATGAGTTAACATATGATATTAAGAAAAATATTTTTATTAAATATCTTGATTTTATTTATACTATTGAAAAATCTTTTTCTTCATATTCCTCTTATTTCCTTAAGAAAAAATGGAATGTCTATTTTCGTAAGAAGTGGATTAATGACTTGAATTTTATAAAAAATGAAATAATTAATAATACAATAATTTTAAATACATTAGATATGTTACCTCTTTTAAATATTTATTTTAATTTTTTTCGTATTTATGGCTTTAATGAAAATATCATACAAAAATTGAAAAAATACAATATAGAGGAAAATATATTTAAGAAAATAAATAATGATTATGTTATAAAAAGTGAATTGTGCTTCATTGAAAAACTTTTTGAAAGAGAAAATAAAGATGATAAAAATGTAAAAAACATAAAAGAAGATAAAGTCTTTAATACATGCTTAAAGGAGAGAATCAACGAATTAAGAAATAAAATATATACCTATTTGCCATATAAAAAAAATGAAAAGTATTTTTATTTTAAAGAAGGACATTTAGAACATATGAATAAATTTAATGATAATAATTTTTTTAACAAAAAAGATGACTTGAATATCTTAGCTAATACTGAACAAGTCGAAATTCTAGACATAAAAATTTTTTTAGTACCTAATAATAAAGAAGCTACAAAAGATGAAAAAATATTGAAAAAAAAAAAAGAAACAAAATATAAAAAAAACGAGAATTTGAACGAAAATGATAATAATATTGAAAATACCAATGATAATAACAATAATGAAAAAAATAAAAATGAAGAAAAGGAAAATAAAATAAGAAATAAAAAAAAAAATGAAAAAGCTAGTAATGGTATAGATGACACAAAGTATGATTTTCAGAAAAATAAAACAAAGAACAAAAAAAAAAGTATAATGTGTAAAAAATTAAATCACAAAATGAAGAATGACAGGAATTACTGCAAATTACATAATGATTTATTTGAGATAAAAAAGATAATTGAAAAACAATATATATCTTTAAATGGTAAAAAGAATAAATTTTACTTCAACTCTTTAGCAAATTTTACAAAATTTTTAGATACTCAAATAAATGATAGTTTGTTTAATCAAAATGATTTTTTGTTTTATAAAAATGAAAATTTGTTACTAAGTAACAACATTTTATATGGAAATAATATGAACAAACAAACTATAAATAATAACTTAAATGAGAATTATAATTTTTTATGTCAACTACATTGTTCTATTTTACCCCGTCACTATGAAATAGCAGATAGCTTATATAAAAAACTGAATTTACCAAAAAAAAATTCATCAAATGACATTGTTAAAAGTCCTAACTTTTTTTTGTTTAATATATTTTTTGATGAAAATATGAAAACTATTTTATATATTATACCTACAAAAATGTATGAATATTTCTTCTTTTTTACATTTTTATTCATATTACTTTTTTTTTAACTAATGTATATTAAATATTTTTTTTTTATATTTAATATATCATGTTTTTACAATTGTATATATATATTTTTTTATCATTAGGATATTGAACTCTTTAAATAGTAAGTGGAAAATCGGTTTAAAATGTAAAATACAAAAACCATTATGCTCTTTTGATTATTCTCATTACGTTGCAACTATTAAAGGAGTAAAAAAGGAAAAAAATTAAATAAAAAAAATTAGCATATTTATATATTATAGATGATTAATTTTAAAAATTTATTCAATTTAATACTTTTTTTTATATATAGATATACATTATTTTTTGTTTTTTCTTAATATTTCAGATAGATTATAATTCCATGAATTTGTGGAAGAATATAACTGTAAAAAAGGACACAAAAAAAAATAAAAAAAACTCAATTACTCAAAAAGTTAATTTTTGGGAATTAATTAAAAAAAATGACATATAATTTCATATGTAAACGAATATAATATGTTGCTTTTTTAATTTTTATTATTAAGCTTAATAGCCATACACATAAATATTTTTTTATTATAATTATTTTTTTCTCATTCTTTTTTTTTTTTTTTTTTTTTTTTATTTTGTTGTAATATTGTATTTATTTCTTTCATTTAAAAATATGTAAAACTATAATGATATAAAAAAAAAAAAAAATAAAATAATATAATAGACTTTGATGCTTTTACAAAAATTTATAAATAATTTTAATATTTAAAAAAAAAATTAGATAAAAATGTCTTGAGAAAATATATT